GTAGTGATCCTTCTGTTTTCAGCCTCCCAAAGTGCTGGGATTACAGGTGCACACCACTGTGCCACATCTCAATTGGTGTCTCATTATGCCTTGGGGGCTGGGCCGGCGTGGCAGGCTGGGAATTGAACCCCCAGCCCCTGTGCCTTCCTAAGCAGGTGCTTTAATCTGCTGAGCTATCTGGCTGGCCCAATTGTAGAAGGATGTTTGTTTGTTCCTTTGTTTGTTTTGGCTAGCTCAGGCTGCCTTAATGGCAGGTCTGGTACAGCTTGTGGAGTTGGGGATGGAACCACGGTCCCCTGTGCTGATTGACTGAGTTTGCCCAAGCAGGTGCTTTAAACAACTGAGCTAACATGCAAGCCCTCTGAACACTTTATCTTATTTATACAGTAAATTTGTGGAGGTAGTTATATTTTGTAGTTGACCATTTAAGAATAAGCTTGCACAAAAAGTGACATTGTGGAGACCAGCCATTAGTCAAATGAGTATTTAAAATATTTCAAGGAAACACAGTCCTTAGTACTTTTTATGGTACTACCAATGACCCAAGGAGTAGAATCAATGGCCTGTCTGGGTTTCAGAACTACCAAGGTGAGTGTGCCAAATACTATACGTGCAGAGCACAAGAATGAGGCCAACCATAATTACCTTTTTAATAAGTCAAGACTCGCGAGAAAAGGCTCAGGATCCGCAGGGCCACTGCTCTGGGTCTTGCTGGTGTCTCCCTATTTGCCTCTTCTCTGAGCTTGGTCATTCACTTATTAAGTTCTAGGATTTAGGTATACTTGCACAAATACTTATACTACTTAAAAGTACTTATATAAGTGAAACCTCTCCAAATAAAAACATTTGAAATATAGTGAGATTGTTTTACTTAAACAATTCAGCTCTCCAAAGAAAGAAATTGAAAAAAACAAATTACAACCCTATGAAAAACTGTTGGCCTGAGCAATGAGAAAACTAGACTGGAAATATAATACCTTACTTTTCTGTTCTACATATAACCAGTAGTCGCTAATTTG